GAATATTCCGGCCAGTGCTGTTGAGGGGAGGGGTTTGGGTTTTTGAGATGTGCTTGCAATCTGAATTATGTCTTGAGACTCCCTTGCAGTCCTGGCAGTAAGATGGAACATCCTCATAGGAAACATTGAGAAAGAGAGGCTGATCTCCATTTTGAACCACAATCTTGTTGATTTGTGGTTTAGAAATATCAACCTCTACACAGATTCTCGCCAGGGAGGGTCTGCCAAAGTTTTCTGTTGTGGCATCAAGTTTGATTGGAGTTCCAAAAATCTGTGCAATATACTGTAGGGGTTCTTTGGCATGGAAATGTATAGGGAGATCATGAATAGAAATCCAGACCGGAAGGATGGGTGATTCAACTTTAGGGTCAAAGAAAGGTGTCCATTTTGAAATCATCATTTTAAAAGAACCCAACATCCATTCCCTACGCTTGAAACATCTATGATATTTCTCCTCATTAGAGAAGTTAAGAAGGATGTGTGCATTGTCAATGAGAGTGACAGAGAAAGCTTTGAAGCCAATGCGTTCCAGGTTTTGTCTATTGAAATCAAGGCTAGGTCTCCCAAAGTAGAAAGATCCAACCAAGGCCTTAGAAAATCTAGATGCCTGAAGACATACCTATTCATTAGTGAAGGCAATACATTGAATTCCTTTGTGTTTATCCACTTGCCTGGGGGAGAGTAATGGGAGGGATCTTGTTTGCTGCTGAAACAGTGGCTGCTGCATAGCTCTTCCCTAGCTTTGCTGGTCCAGGAAAGAGTGAAGAGTTGATGGAGGGGAAGGGGTTGTTGGAGGAGGAAGGTAAGGTTGGCAGCTGGGGGTGGCCGGAAGCCTCCCCAGAGGAAGTCACCCGCATAAACTTTCGGCAGGAAAGGCTAGAGAGAGAATATATATATATATATATATATATATATATATATATATATATATATATATATATATATATATATATATATATATATATATATATAGTTCTGGTGAGAATGCAATCTTAGGAGAGAAATGAGAATGAATCTGGTGCTTTAGATTGTGAGATCTAAGGGTCAAGATTTCATCAAAATTAGATGCACCAAAATGGTTCGAAAATGCATCACGTTGAAATGCACCATAAACCTTCGAAAATGCACTATCTCAAAATCTGAGCGCAGGATGCAATCTGAGCCGCATGATGCATCAGATCCGACGGCTAGATTTTATTCTCATTTCTCTCCACAAGGTGCATTCTCACAGGAACTGGTCCCTATATAGGGGCCGGTTCTCGTGAGAATGCACCTTGTGGAGAGAAATGAGAATAAAATCTAGCCGTTGGATCTGATGCATCGTGCGGCTCAGATTGCATCCTGTGCTCAGATTTTGAGATAGTGCATTTTCAAAGGATTTTGGTGCATTTCGACATGATGCATTTTCAAACCATTTCGGTGCACCTAAATAAAAATAAATATATTATTTATATATTATTTATTAACTTTAAAATATGAATTATTTGTAAAGTTGAACATTTTAATTAAAAATTAGGTTTTCGGGTAGATCTCGTAAAATGGTGACCAACGGTATAAAGTTTGTCAAGTTTGGAATTTCGTGTGAAGCGTGGTGAGCGAAATGATCAATACAGTTCAGTAAATTAATGTAATGGAATTTAGTACGGAGTAATATAATAATGATGATGATGATGATGATGATGATGATGATGATGATGATGATGATGATGATGATGATGATGATGATGATGATGATGATAATAATAATAATAATAATAATAATAATAATAATAATAATAATAATAATAATAATAATAATAATAATAATAATAATAATAATAATAATAATAATAATAATAATAATAATAATAATAATAATAATAATAATAATAATAATAATAATAATAATAATAATAATAATAATAATAATAATAATAATAATAA